ATGACAATGGGAAGCTAGATCTATTGGAAAGCACATGCACATATAGATCCGGAACATTACAACACACATGAACATGACAATGAGAAGCTAGAACTAAAGGAAAACACAAGCACAAACACATAAAGGAGAGATCAGCTAAGTAAGATCCGGAACATCACAACGCGCATGAACATGACAATGAGAAGGTAGAACTAAAGGAAAACACATGCACATAAAGGAGAGATCATCTAAGTAAGATCCGGAACATTACAACACATATGAACATGACAATGAGAAGCTAGAACTAAAGGAAAGCACAAGCACATAGGGGAGAGATCATCTAAGTAAGATCCGGAACATCACAACGCACATGAACATGACAATGAGAAGCTAGAACTAAAGGAAAAGACATGCACATAGAGGAAAGATCATCTATGTAAGATCCGGAATATCACATACTATCATGTGAGCGAAATCAAGAGGCAAAGTATGCAAGATCAACAAGGTTGAACCAAAGGTCATCTATGAAAGAAGCGGTGCACTCCTTCTAGTGTGTGAGTGAAAGGTATGAACTTGAGTAAGCTAGATCACCAAGATTGCATCAAAGGTCATTCGCGGAAGTTGCGGTGCACTACCCACTAGTGTATGAGTGAAAGGTATGAACTTGAGTAAGCTAGATCACCAAGATTGCATCAAAGATCATCCATGAAAGTTGCGGTGCACTACCCACTAGTGTATGAGTAAAAGGTATGAACTTGAGTAAGCTAAATCACCAAGATTGCGTCAAAGATCATCCATGAAAGTTGCGGTGTACTACCTACTAGTGTATGAGTGAAAAACAAGAGTGTGAGTAGCCCTAATCACCAAGATTGCATCAAAGATCATCTATGGAAGCGGCGGTGCATTACCTACTAGTGTATGAGTGAAAAGAAAGAGTGTGAGTAACCCAAATCACCAAGATTGCATCAAAGATCATCCTTGAACTTTGCGGTGTACTACCTACTAGTGTATGAGTGAAAAGCAAGAGTGTGAGTAAGCCCAAATCACAAAGATTGCATCAAAGGTCATCCATGAAAGTTGTGGTGCACTACCTACTAGTGTATGAGTGGAAAGCAAGAGTATGAGTAACCCAAATCACCAAGATTGCATCAAAGATCATCCATGAATGTTGCGGTGTACTACCTACTAGTTGTATGAGTGAAAAGTGAGAGTGTGAGTAACCCAAATCACCAAGATTGCATCAAAGATCATCCATGAAAGTTGCGGTGTACTACCTACTAGTGTATGAGTGAAAAGCAAGAGTGTGAGTAACCCAAATCACCAAAATTGCATCAAAGATCATCCATGGAAGTTGCGGTGCACTACCCACTAGTGTATGAGTGAAAGGTATGAACTTGAGTAAGTTAGATGACCAAGATTGCATCAAATATCATCCATGAAAGTTGCGGTGTACTACCTACTAGTTGTACGAGTGAAAGGCAAGAGTGTGAGTAACCCAAATCACCAAGATTGCATCAAAGATCATCCATGAAAGTTGCGGTGTACTACCTACTAGTTGTATGAGTGAAAAGCAAGAGTGTGAGTAGCCCAAATCACCAACATTGCATCAAAGATCATTCATAAAAGTTGCGGTGCACTACCTGCTAGTGTATGAGTGAAAAACAAGAGTGTGAGTAGCCTAAATCACAAGTTGTCAATATGAGATCATCCATAGAAGAATCGGAGCACTTCCTACTAGCATGTGAATGAAAAACAAGAGTTTGAGTAGGCCAAATCACAAGTAAACGATGTGAGACCTTCCATAGTAGAATCGGAACACTACCTACTCGCATGTGAGTGAAAAACAAGAGTTTGAGTAGCCCAAATCACAAGTAATCAACATGAGTTCATCCATAGAAGAATTGGAGCTCTACCTACTAGCATGTGAATGAAAAACAAGATCTTGATTATCCCAATAAGGAGAAGAAGATGAAGGAGAAGAAGGAGGAGAAGAAAAAGAAGAATAAGGAGAAGGAGATGAAGAAGAAGGAAAAGAAGAAGAAGAAGAAGAAGAAGAATGATAAGGAGAAGAAAAGGAAGAAGAAGGAGAAGGAGGAGAAGAAGAAAAACAAGAAGATGAAGAAGAAGATGGAGAAGAAGATGAAGAAGAAGATGGAGAAGAAGATGGAGAAGTAGATGTATCTTCTTCCTTCCACTCACCTTGTCAATATCTTGGAGATGGAGTCTCAAATCTTGATGATGCTTTCCTCCTCCTTGTACAACTTCTCCTTGGTTATGGCTCCCTCCTTCTTCAAGCCTTTCTCCTTCCTTTCTCACCTCTTCCCATTGCCTCAAGCTCCCATCACCTTGGCTATGGAGTCCTCCCCTCTAGGAGGGCTAATGGGGCTCCCTCTAGCCTCTCTCTCTTCCTCACACCCAGGGGGCTATGGCGGATCACCTCCCCTAGTGCCAGCCTCACTACCTCTAGTCCCTACAGCTCCTCTCCCTAGCTCATGACCTCCACCAAACTCCTAAACTAGCATGGGCTCTCCTCTCCTCTCTCCAAGTGAAAGAGTGCTATCATGAGCTCACTTGGGCAGCATGGCACTCCTCATGCAATTGTGAAAATGGCGGACTGAATTCCCAGTTTATGTAGGCTGAAACCAGCAGTCCGGCCAGCCCATGAGCCTCCCCATGAGCCTTGAGGTGAACCGAGGTAACCCCAATGCAAAATTTCACTACTAGGCCGTCCCGGAGATACCTGGACCTCCTTTTGGCCAAGTACATGCAGTCCGAGTGGTTCGTACCAACTCCGATTGCCTTTTGGCCTACTCCGACCTCCTTTTTGCCTCACAAATCTTGCCCCCTTGGGTCCTAATGCCCAAGGGGCAATTTCACTTGAAAGAAAAAAACCTTGTGGACCTTTTTATAGATTTTTGCAAGTTTCGGTCTCCCTTGGGTAGACCGGAGCATTTTTTCATGTCGCGGCACATTTTCAGCCTTGGATCTGATTGAGATCCAAGACCAACAATAATCCGTGCTACCCCCTAGTAGTCCTTGCTTCAATTTTGAGCCCCTAAGTCCACTTTTTCAATTTTTGGTGCATCTGGCTCTCTTTTGGGGCCAAATGCACAGTTTGGTCATTTTCCTTCTTTTGTTTCTTTCCATTTTGGGCTGCCGTTTCATTTCGGAGCTAGCCGTTTTGAGCTGGCCCACAAAAAACGGCTAGGTCCTCTCCACCATGAGATCTGATCTCAGATCCATGGCCCAAAAGAAGACCGGTCACTTTCTTTTTGCATTTTCTTTTAGTTTCTGCTTTTCAATTCAGATTTTCTCTATAATCCGGATGACCCTCCCTCATTCTAGGAGGGATGAGGTTGCAGTTGGGACCTGCCACTCCCTACTGGCAGGTTCCAATAGGCTGGCACACTCTCCTTAACTCTTTTCTCCCTTTTTGTCCCATTCTCCCTCATTTCTCTCTCATTTCTCTCTCATTTTTCTTTCTTTTTCTTTTATTTCAGTTGTCACAAGTGTCAAACTGCTGCACACCCTCTTTCTAGGCCCTAGGACCGCATTCAAGGCTAAGTTCATGGCTGGCTCTTGGCCATTATATCTCGGATTCCAAACATGGCGCCCCCATGCTCCTAGAGGGCTCCACTTTGCCTCCGTTTGTCCAATTTTGAGCCCCCCTTGCTCCGATTTTTTAAGGGCAGCCTTTTTTTTATGTTGAACCTCTTGAGGCTTTATTTTCTCACGCCTAGCTAGTCCGAGATATCTCGGACTGCTGGGCAGCCCTCCCAACACTATTATTTTACTTTCTTTTCACCCCATGACTCGCCCACTTGCCCCCGTACTAGTGGTACTAATATTTTCCACCGTCTAGATCCTTGATCTCGACGGTCCTGTTTGTTTGCACAAATATTCCTTGTGCTTGCTCATGGTCCCTTTGGGACATCCCAAGTTTCCGCCATTCTCCTCCATACTAGTTTCATTTTTTTGTCTCGTCGGCGGTCCCGCCGGCGCATGTCCCGTTTTTCGATTTTTATTATGTGGACCCACTTGGCCACCGACAACATTCCGGATGGTGTCCAATTTTTATTTTTGGGGCCTCTTGCCCTTGGTGATCCCATCATCTCTACATGTGTGCTGATTTTTCTAGGTCGTGAGATCTCATCTCACGGTTGCCGTTTACCGTCTTTACTTGCCCCATGCCGAAATCGCTCCTTTCTAGCCTTCCGGGCTTGCCGTGGCGCAGTCCATTGCAACTCGGACTGCAATGGGGGTCAATTTCCTAACCCCAATGCCCCACAACTGACCCTTACTCAAAAGAAAAAGAAACGGTCAATTCCCAAGTGCATCCGGACTTGATTTTGGCTTCAGATGCACCTAAAACATGTGTTTCTCCTCATTCATGTAATCCGTTTTATTCCGGGTTCCAAGGGACCTTGATTTTCTTTGATTTTCTTTGCAAAAATCAAAGAAAATCAAAGTTCTTTGTAACCGCCATATTCCAGAATGAATCTGGTCACGGATAAATCTCCCCAAGTGACCGTTTTTTACCGTTAAGACCTTTTTTTTTTTTTTTTCCTTTTTTTTTCTTTTCCTCCTTTCTTGGACAGTAGGGACCTGCCAGCCCCTACTTGTGGTAGTCCCTACTGACGGCCAACTCACTCACTCCCTCTCACTTTTTTTTTTTTTTTTATTCTCCCACATTTTTTTTTCTTTTCTCTTTTTTTTTTTAGCATGCCAAGTGTCAAGTGGTCGTTAAGGCCTTTTTCTAGCCTCTTCCTTTTAGTTTCGGCCCTTCTTTATGGCCACAGTGCAATCCGTTATATCTCGGACTGCAATAATGACCTTCTCATGCCCATGGGAGCTTCCCTTCACTCCTACTTTCCTCCCATAGTAGCCCCTCGTACTCCGATTTTCTCCCGGAGGGCTATTTTTCACATGGGGTCTCTTTGACTTCATTTTGTTGAGGGAGGCTGATCCGAGATTTTTCGGATTGCTCCCATGCCTCCCACCTCAAGTTTTTTTCCCTTTTTTTTTCTTTTTGGCCTTCCCATTTACTACCGCTAGTGCTTGCACCAGTGGTGCTAATATTCTTGGTCGTCAACGGCGTCAAAATCTCGATCTTGACGGTGCACCTTTCCTTTATTATTTTTCCTCATGCGGTGCCGCCGTTTCTTCTTGGGACTTTCACATGTCCTCGCCACTTGTCCCGTCGGTGGTCCCCGACATTTAGTTCCGTCGGTGGTCCCCGATACTTAGTCCCGCCGGTGGTCTTCGACACTTAACCCCGCCGGAGGTCCTCGATATATTTCGCCCCGGATGCCATTATTTTTACTTAGTCCCACGTGGCTCTGGGTGCCTTTCCCCGAGGTGTCCCACGTCCCTTGGGCGTTTTGCCGCCCCATTCCTCTCTCCCTTGTACGCGCCGGTTCCTTTGGTCGCGGGCCTCTACCCCGAAGCACCCGTAGGTGGCCTCCATGTTGACCCCTCGTTTTCTAACTTCCCGTGGCCTCTGGGCTGTCCATCCCTCGACTCCCTCATTCCTTTATCGCTGCCGTGCTGCTTTTGCTGGTTCAAGGGCCCTTTGACCTTGGTCTTATTGCATTCCAACGACCCTCCCGACCTCATGCTATGTTCTATGTGCCCTATTCTTGCGCTCGCTTGCTTGCCGTTGCTAGTTCTTTCCTCTTGGAGTTCTCACCCCAGGACATCACTCCCTCTTTCGGCTTAATCCTCTGTCTTTTCTCTCTCCAGCCTCTTCACTCGAGATTTCTCTGTTGTGCACAGTTTGCCCATATCCAGTCTCTCAAGTGATGGGAAGTTATTCGGGACTCACTAGTCCCGACACATTCCCCCCACTCATTCGCGATGTCCTCATCGCGCACCAATCTCTTGTAAGTGGTTTTTGGAGGGATAGACGGGAGAGGAGGAGGGGATGTTATGGGTAGCTAGTTTGCCAGAGTCCATTTTGTCTTTTTTTGTTTTTTTTGCTCATTTCTCGATTTTCTTCTAGTTTCCGGCCTTGGAACGGGGAGGGGTGTATAGGGTCAAGCTTTCTTTGTCCTTTAGGCTTGTCACGTCTCATTCATCACCCGTAATATATCAAACCCTTTTCGTTTCGTTCATCACCCTCAGAGCATCAAAACCCCTTTCGTCTCGTTCATCTCACCCTCATCAATCCTCCTCTCGTCTCGTTCATCACCCTTAGAACATCAATCCTCCTTTCAGTTTTCCTCCTTTCGCTGCCCCCGCTTCTCCCTCGGGCCTTGCCATCCCAAGCGCCCTTTGGTTGATCCTTCTTCCATCCCTTGCCAACCAGGCCCCTTTTTCCGGCTTCCGTCACCTTTAATGCCTTTTCTACTTGGCTCTTCAGCCCGTGCAATCCACGCCTCTTGTCACCCTTTCCTCAACCTCATGCTTGACCAAATTCACATGTATTTTTCCCATGTTATTTTGTCCAGTTTTCTCTAGCCTTGCCAATTCCGCATGCATGTCACCCCCATTCTCAAAATCCGCATTACTTAGTTTTATTCCATGCGCATCTTTCTTCCGGCATTTTGCTAGGCCTTGCTCAAACTCATGCAAAATCCATTACACATATATCACTTTTCTGGGCGTCTTGCCAGTCCTTTCCTTAAGCCTATGCAAACCCAATTACCCCTGCCTTTCTCTTCTGAATATCTTGTCAGGCCTTCTCTCAAGCCTGCGCAAGGTCAATTACTCATTCATTTATCTTCTGGCCCTCTTGCCAGGCCTTTTCTCAAGCCCATGCAAAGTCAATTACTCATCCATTTCTTTCTTCTGGACATCTTGCTTGACTTTTTCTCAAGCTTGCGCAAAGTCAATTACTTATCCATTTCTTTCTTCTGGACACCTTGCCAGGCCTTTTCTCAAGCCCGTGCAAAGTCAATTACTCATCCATTTTTTTCTTCTGGTCACCTTGACAGACCTTTTCTCAAGCCTGTGCAAAGTCAATTACTCATCCATTTCTTTCTTCTGAACATCTTGCCAGACTTTTTCTCAAGCCTGCGCAAAGTCAATTATACATCCATTTCTTTCTTATGGACATCTTGCCAGACTTTTTCTCAAGCCTGCGCAAAGTTAATTACACAATTTCTTGAGCTCATGGTAACCTTCTCTTTCGCACGCTTTTTCATCGGTAGATGACACACCTTCCCCCCACTCAAAGTGCGATGCCCCAATCGCACAGCTAGTTCTCACTCGGAGGTACGCAAACCTTGGCCCACCAACGAGTAGACGGATGCCGACCCATCAGCCCCAAAAAGGAAGGGTGATCAGTCCTCCCCCTGCTGATAACTCACCCCATCCCCTACTCCGTCCGACCTTTTGCCGCTTACGAGACGGGCGTCATCACTGAGGTACCTCCTCACATTTGGCAGGTAGGTCCAGTCCAAAGCCTCCCAGGACCCCGTCTTGCCGTAAGGGTTTTCTCGCGCATCGTTCCTCCCGAGTGGTGTTTTCTTGGATCCGGCCTCTTCCTTTCAAGAGAGTCGGGACTCTCAATTAGTTTGCGAGTGCAGTTACGAAGACCTCGCGGTTAGTCCCGGAACGATTGTAATGATTCGGCAGGGCGGTGTCACTCACCCTGTGGTGGTTGCGGCTTCCACCCGGTACCACTCCTGACTCCTCCCTCTGGACAGTGGCGCTCAACTTAACGCGAACCGCCGTGGTCCATTCCAAACGGCCGTGCCGCCTCTCGACGGCGTGGCGTGTGGTTGGGGAGAAAAATGAGACTTAGGAAAAAGAATGGCTCTCTCGCCCGTTTGGCTCCACGCCCTTGACGTTTAGGTTCTCAACATGAGGCGCAGTTTGAACTCCCGGACTAGAGCTCGTTGTCGGGGTTAGTTCCGGACGGCCAGCATCAATCAAAGAAAGAGGTGCTTTGGTCCTTCAACCCTTATTCCTTCTTATGAGGAGCAGGTCGCGCTGATACTTGCCCTTGACGGTAGAGGTCTTGGGGTTGCGATGCATGCACCGCTATCCCCCTTATGTTGAGACCCGAGACTAGCAGAAAAGGAAAACTCAATCTCTTGCTATTTCCATGGTCGGCCCGACGACCTCACATCAAGTTGCCTAGGGTCGCATGACAATGCAATGCAATATCCAATTTTCAAACACTCAATCTCATGCTATTTTCAAGGCTGATTCTCATGGCTGGTCCGACAGCCTCCCATTAATCAAGGTTACCCCTTGTGGCCGCTCTGGCGGTCGTTTTCTTAATAGCCATTTTCGCAAGGGCCGACCCGTCGGCCCACCTTCAATCCTCATTTGTCACATTCCCCAATATCCGTTCTTTATGACCGTCCTTCCGGTCCATGCTTCTCTTGTCTTAAGGCTCAGCCTTCTTTATCCTGCCCTTCTCATTCTCATTCATCCATTCTCATGGCTATCTCAATGACCGACCCACCGACCTTTTCCATCTCTTCCATCCATCTCATTGGCTATTTCAATGACCGATCCACTGACCTTTTTCATCCCTCATTGCTCATTCTAGCTCATTCTCAATCATCCTTTCTCAATCAATCTTTCTCAATCAATTATGCAGGGGACCCCAGTGCCTTTTTCAAAAGGAATGACCCTTGTCTGGGGCCATTTCCGAACAACCTGGTTAGGGTCGTTCTTTTCCATTCTTAAGTCGAACAGCCTGGTTAGGGTCATTCCTTTCCATTCTCAAGTCGAACAGCCTGGTTAGGACCATTCCTTTCCATTTTCAAGCCGAACAACCTGGTTAGGGCCAGT